CTTATTTTTGAACATATTAATGCCAACGATAGTTTTGATATGTGCTGGAATAAGATTATACAGCCGAGGAGCTAAGTGAGTATAACACTTTTGTAAAGTATTTTTCTCTGATTTTGGAACATAGATTGAATTCATTTTGTGGCGAGTTGCATAATGGTGTTGAATTTTTCTAAGTTCATGTTTATTTTTGTGTTGCCTTATAACAGTTTTGAAGAAGTGAAGTTGCCTTATGTCTAAAGTCAATGTTTCCTTATATAGCGCTTCTGTGGGGTAAGTTCTATTTTTATTCGTGATTATTTTCAGAGTTAATTTTTAAGTTTGCTCTAGGATTTTTATATGAGAATTTTTTCAAACATCATCAAGAGATTACTAAAACTCTCCTGATGATACTCGTTAAACGAAACGCGGGTCGAGATACAATGGTTGAGTTTTGGTGTAGAAAAAGTATTTTCATTATAATCAGAGAAGGATTTTAGTGAACAAAAAAAAACGTGCAATATTCACTTACATTCGACATCTAATATGATACGTTTGCTAACTGAAGGAGGGATGCCATTTGTCGCTATGCAAAGATAGGCGCCCATATCCATACGACTGACGCGAATCAGATTCAGATGTTCGCCCTCTTGAAAGTCAACTGAAAATATAATAATAGTAACAAGTATTTATACAGAAATAATTTCGAATGAAAATTTGAAACATTCATCTCCTTTAACCTTCTTACATAGAAGGATCTGCCTATCGAAAAATATATGCTTTTCTGACAATACCACAACGGATATTCCTATAGTTATTATCATGGATGATATTTCAAATAATTATTCGAGTTGAAAGTTGAAAGAAATTGGTTTCGCTCTTCAGGGAAGCGGATTCACTCAACGCATCAGAAACGGAATAATGGAAACCAAACTGTCTCAAATTGACATTTATTTCAAGGAAAAAAATGATTTTGATTTGGTTTGATCAGATTATCGAAGGTCTAGTCGCAACTGAACGCTGAACACAACACGAACAAAAATATTGTACTGTGCCAAAAATATCTAGCACACCATACTAAAACCATAATATATTTCTCTTAATATTAGGAGATGAAAATCGAACAGAAATAATCTGATATTGATTAAAAACAATTTTGAAATAATCTAAGAACAGTTTT